GGTGGCCGTTACTGGCCGGTCATAGAAGGAGCTGTCGATTGTGGAAAGCGAACCATGGACGATTGGAGGAGCCAACCATGGAAGGCGCGGAGGGAAGACTGGTAGGTATGACTCAGTACTTCCTACAGTTACCCTCCATGCCTACCTACAGTGCCTGTAGCCGTTACTGTCCCGGCATAGAGGGAGCTGACGATTGTGGAGAGCCAACCATGGACGACTGGGAATGCCAACCATGAAAGGCACGGACGGAAGACAGGAAGGTATGACTGTGTACTTCGTCCACTTACTCTCCATGCCTAGCTGTAGTGCCGGTAGCCGTCACTGGCCGGTCATAGAAAGAACTGTCGAATGTGGAGAACCAACCATGGACGACTGGGAAAGCCAACCATGAAAGTCACGGACGGAAGACTGGAAGGTATGACTGTGTACTTCGTCCACTTACTCTCCATGCCTAGCTGTAGTGCCGGTAGCCGTAACTGACCGGTCATAGAGGGGAGCGGACGATTGCGGAGAGCCAACCATGGACGACTGGGAAAGCCAACCATGAAAGGCACGGACGGAAGACAGGAAGGTATGACTGTGTACTTCGTCCACTTACTCTCCATGCCTAGCTGTAGTGCCGGTAGCCGTTACTGGCCGGTCATGAAAGGAACTGTCGATTGTGGAGAGCCGACCATGGACGACTGGGAAAGCCAACCATGAAAGGCACGGACGGAAGACTGGAAGGTATGACTGTGTACTTCGGCCACTAACTCTCCTTGCCTAGCTGTAGTGCCGGTAGCCGTTACTGGCCGGTCATGGAGTGAGCTGACGATTGTGGAGAGCCAACCATGGATGATTTGAGAAGCCAACCAGTGAAGGTGATGACAGAAGACTGGAAGGTATGACTGTGTACTTCGTCCACTTACTCTCCATGCCCAGCTGTGGTGCCGGTGACCGTTACCGGCCGGTCAAAGAGGAAGCTGTCGATTGTGGAGAACCAACCGTGGACGAATGATGAAGGCAACGAACGAAGACCCAGATGGAATACGTAAATGGAATACTACATACCTCGTTTATTTACTGTCCATGCCTACCTGCAGTAAAGGTACCACTGTCTTCAGGTGATGAGGGATTCTTTTCCGAAGGTTCATGTGCAGGTGGACAAGGAGTTACCGCATGGAACTGGAAGCGTGTAATCGCGTACCCTTTTTATTGTAAACCAAACTGTTGTATATTACTGTTGTGGCAAACCGGCGGCCCAAGGCAGTCGGGGACGATTTCCCCTACCTCGCCAGTCCCCCTACCTGGCCAGTGTATTGTACCTTTTAATAAATCAGAGTAAATATTTCATATGTACATGTAGTTATTAGTGATTACGGTACTGCGAAGCCTCCGGAATGAGGTAAGGTGTGGTAAGCAGTTGAATAACTGTCATCCAAAGGGCTGCGTTAGCTGATAGGTGCCTATGGATCACTAATGGGGGAATTCAACGGACGTTGTCTGTTGGATGGGTGGCTGTCTCTAGCAGTGGTAACGTAGCCATCATATAACGGTAAGGATTGCGACTAATCGACCAACCTTGAAGGCTTGGTACGTAAACATATTTACGTACGTAGAATAATGCAATGACGTCCACTACGCCTCGTCGATAAACCCTTGTAGGTCAGGAAGGAAGTGATTACAGAAGGCCTTTAGGGCGGGAACTGAGAGATACGTAGAGACTGTCTGAGGCCGCTGCCGGCCACGGTAGACGATAAGTAGGAATAGCTGTAGCTGGTAACGAGCGACATGACCCACCCGTAGGGAAGGGCATATCAGGTCAACTAACAAAGCCGGTTGGGAGGGACAGTAGACTGTGAAGCAGGCGGAAATGGAAACAGCCGATGAAGGAATTGTCGATTGCGGTAAGTTTGCGTAAAAGGGAGCGGTACTGCGGGAAATGATATCCGCACGGCGTAGATTACAGGCCTTCGGAAGGGGGAAAGGGGAAAGGCGTGGGCTAGGCGGTAGAGGTGTATGTAAATACGGCAGTGGTCTAAGAGCCGAATGCCTGTGGAAGGAGCTACCCCAAAGTGACAGACGTATGTTTGGACGGCGTAGGCTGTAAGCCTTTTAGTTTCAGGGGGGAGGGGTGGGTGTTGCAGAATATGCGGAGAGAAGGCCTGCAGGGTCAGGTGTACGCCCGGAAGTTGAAGGCGGGCTGGAAACGTTAGTGGACAGCTGGCATAAGTGGTAGTCCTACTGACGAAATGGGAATGCCGGCAACTCAGTTAGGTGGACTCCGGAATGCGTAGGAGGAGAGGCAAGTGAACCATGATTGGAAACCGAGAGATGATGACGGGAAACACTACGTAAACCGAGAAACCGTCGAACGGGCAGTTAACAGGGCAACTGCAACGCATGGGGAACTGCCCAGAGGTGGTTTGGAGTAAGAGAAGTTTGTGTGCGTAAATGCATAGAAGTTGCATTGTATGTTGGGCATAAATTTTAGGCAACAGGAAATGGGAACTCCACGTAAACCCTACGGAGGCGGGTTGCTAGGTGTGTTTGAATGTTTCCTTCTAGCCATGGAGGCCACAGGTCTTCCATTACGGCTACCTTACGTACTATTGTTTGTTCAGTAGGTGTGCTTGTGGTATTTTTTTTTGCCGCCGCGGCAAAAAAAAATACCACAAGCACACCTACTGAACAAACAATAGTACGTAAGGTAGCCGTAATGGAAGACCTGTGGCCGCTTATTTGGCACCGGTCCGTTTATCAATCCTTTTGTCCTATATGCGAGGCAGTGTTATGGAAACATGTGAAAATTGTCTCAAACGATTCATGAGGGAACCGTCTGATGCATAGATCACGTTTTATCTGACGGCACAGTACACTTTTGAGTTCACCTCACAGTAAACTCTGATTATCATTTCTCTGCAAGGTATTGCTATTGTGGTGAAACAATGGCTTGCCTGTGAATGTTGTTATTGCACGAATTAACACAATCAAGTCTGAAAAGGATATGTGTTTCCTGATTTTCCATAAATAACGCACTTATTCCCATCCTGCATCACCAGATTTAACGATTTAATAAAAATTTGGGTAAATGGGGTGATGTAGGATGGGAATAAGTGCGTTATTACCGGAAAATCGGGAAACGCATCTTCTTTTCTGATTTCATTGTGTTAATTCAAGCAATCCTATACCTGAAAAAAGCAATAACGACATCCGTGGGTAAACCATTGTTTTAAGACACCAGGCACATGCTAGAAGTAAGAAGGTAGCTGTACAACGTCCCGCCATCGAGCGGCTGTTATGAAATTTGAGCACGTATTAGGATATTTTTGCGTGTTTTGATTTCTTTTAAATAATAAGGGAGAAACGGGACGGATAGAATTTCGACCGCTTGAACAATGCTTTGGTATTCATAAAATCACTCAATAATACACCCGTAATCGCGGAACGGAGCATTGAGTAAGCCAAGGTGACGAGAACGGTTCCACTATTGCAGGAAAGGATCGTTTCGCTAGTTGCCGAAGGACAGTTATCTATATCTGTCTGCTCATTTCAGAAAAAGCGTTCCAACCTTTTCCTTGCCGAGATGCGTGAGCATTCGTAACGAAATATTTAAGTGAGGCACTTTTAAAGATAAGCTCTCTTAGGCATTTTTACATTCGATTAAGGGTGTTTTCAGCACAGACCTCAGCTACGGAACTCACGTCCCCTATGATTTGGTTTTGTGTTCCATTGGGTTCAGAACATGACCAAAACTCATTCTTTGCACAAACAAGAACGTCCAATAACTCACCATGCGGGTGAACGCTTTCAATAACAGCCTTCTTTTTGAACTTTTGACAAATGCAAACTAAAAAAATCACATTTTCATCAATCAACTGAGGACGCTGGAACCCACAAAGCATTCAAGTACACTTTTAGAGCGTCAGAACATTCAGCAGACTCCGGAGTCGCCGGGAATCGCACAGTAAGTTGCCAGAAGAAACGTCCTCTTAATACACAGAGAACTGTATGCTCATGATTTCATCCGATAATTATATGCCAGTCTCTTAGTCACTGAAGGGTCTGTCGATGAGCTACAAGGTAACAAGATGTCACCTAGCCACGAGTTTGAATTTTCGGCTTATCCCAAATCGTCTCCCAATTTACGTGCTTTCACTTTCATCGAGGACAAAAAAACCACAAGAAGGGTAATGAGGAAAGATTTTAGAGGTGGGAGTCTGGCTTGAAAGACCAAAATCTGATACGACCGAAACCTTATGAGAGACGGGTTTGATTCCCTCCGACTCCACTACATGACCCAAGAAAGTTAAGCTGGGGACTCCGAACTCACATTTGGTAGCATTGATGATAACGCCGTAGGAGTCGAGTCGTTCGAACAGTTGTCGGAGATGAGCCTTATGCTATGTGGAGTCAGAACTCGTCACCATGCATCGTCGATGTAAGCGTAGGCGAAATGGAGACCTCGCAGTACTTGATCAATGAACCGTTGTCCGATGGGATCATCTCCCTGAAGCTGTTAGAGATACCTTGAAAGAGGATGACTGAAAACATCGTCGAGCTGCTCCTCCGAATTGTTGGTGGTAACAGCACGCGCTACTTGGAATTGCGGATGGCAGGTGTGGGAAACAAACGTACGCTGCCTGAGAAGTCGAGTCGACACCTTGCTGTAAATTGCCGGAGGACAGGTGTGGTAAACGAAACATTCGCGGACTTTCGGTGTTCGGAAATCACGTCGGGGTCACCAAGTTTTAATGGCCAAGGATGTGAGATCAAGATTGTAAAGGTGAGAATCTGCCTCGAAAGAACAAGAACTTGCGCAGCACTTTCGAATTAGCACCGAGAAGAGTCTGCCCATGAGCTGCGCAGTGTCCATACCCAAAAACTATAGACTGATTATCGAAACGTTGATTTTGTGTCAAAAAGACCTTCTTGTATAATGCACTTCATGCTGGATATCAATGGCCTTCTATTCTCTAGCAGTGATTTTATTTAGTCCTTTGGCTGAGAATTTCCTTGGCGTTGTTCACCATGTTTGCACTTGCATGTTAGTCTACACCCCTTGCCCCGCTTCTGCTGGTGTATAGACGCACGGCATCTGGACAGAATTTGTATGCCCAACACAGCCTCTATATGACTCGGCCTGAAACGTTATCACTCTCAAATGGCAATGAGATTTTAATGGACTTTTCAGATTGATTGTTACCACAAGTGGCTGCATTTTTGTGTAAACATTGCAGGTAACAGCGGAGTGTGCATCACGGGGCTTGAAGTGAACAAATTCCGGCTTTTCAGAATGCATGACTTATTTGCATTGGCTCTGCCTTATCCACTGCATGTTTTCTCGAAAAAGTGGGTAAATAGTCTTTTGGCCAATGTGCTCCTGTGTATCTGGAGAATCGGAAGTCTGTAATTTTTCTGCCATTCTTAATCTGCAGCTGTTAGATACGCAGGTTTAAAACCGGTCTGCCGGTGACAGTTAAGAATGAATGCATCCAAACAGGAACAGTTATTTCAAAACCTCATCTCATTCCTTCTCAGCTTCAGACAGTGTTATGACGGACTAGAAGGCACAATTAAATGAACGAAAGTGATCGCTGGATTTCCATAAATTGTATGCAGTCGGTAATGCGAGACAGAAACCCGAAAGGGTACTGCGAAAATGCTGTTAATGATCATTACTAACGCCATTTCTCATAAGACGGTGGTCTAAAAAAGTGCCATCCGCATAGCCGGAGACAAGTGATCAGTTGTTAGCTCCGCACCTGTTGCCACGGATTTTTTTCCAGTCAAAAAATTCTGTGTGAGCTCCGATTTTGTTTCAAAATTTACATTTTGACCCCACTGCACCAACTGTTTTTGACCCACATTGACGAGAAAGTTTTCTCGTGGAAGAGTAAATCTGAAATCACGTGAGTCTGTATGCGTGCATTCTGTCAAATGGTGATACATATTTTATCTCAAGTACTCTGGCACCCTTTCAAAGGGTATGGTTGACGAGGAGATATTTGGAAACGGAGTTAAGATAATTTCGCGTTTGAACTCGTAATTTTTTACTGAAGTTGACTTGTATGATGCATGCGTATTTTACGCCAGTCTTGAAAGTTGGTAGAGGCTGTCAAGACTCAAACTAACTTCTTGCACGGTCTAATAAGTACTTCTTAGAAGAAAACAAAGTGGGTAGTTGAATGGGAGGCTTTATTTCTTAATTAGTTAAGAACACAAGTTAAAAACACTTAAAGCATAATGGTCGCAGGGATAGGCGCTGTAATTTGTGCAACACAAGGAAACATGCGAAAATCTACTATAGGCATCCGCGTGACGAGTAAAGCCTCAGTTTCTGCATTTAGGACGTACGTACGACAGAAAACAGGGCAAAGGACATGTCGGGTTGGGCGGATAGACATCGGACTAATAAGATTCAGAACGTCGTTCTGAACATCTTCTCAAAAGATGCAATAGACATGACTTAACTGTGAATTTCAGTTGGTCGGCCGAATCCCATGTTACCGGATTCTAAGCCATGGGTACGTCCGTGGCTGCATAAATGCGCGCCCTATTGTCTTAGAAAATGCCTTTCTTGTAACCCGTAATATCTCAATTATGAATTCGGTCGAAAAAGTACGTCCAGGGACAAGACACGTTATGCTTTAGCCGACGCATGGTTTCAAAACTCCTGATACCACAACTTATAGATTGTTGACAAAAGAATCAGATATCCACTTATCTTTCTATAGGTTGTTAAATCAGAAACAATTTAAAAGAACCATGCGGCTAAATTTGTGTTTGTTTTAATCTCTAGCCACGAAGTGTCTCTTATTCAAGGCAGCGATATTGCCAAATTAAACTCGGGTATTAGCGTCGACAGACAAGATCTTCCGAAAACCAGGGTAACGCAACAAGACGACAAATTGTTGACCGATGCATGTTGACCTCGCTTGCGCAAAATAGTCGTCAAATAGCCGGTTCCGCGGGAGACAGGGAAAATCCAGATGACCGTTCGGTGGATTGCGACAGTCACCGTGATGCTGAAATCACTAAAAATCTGCTGTATGTTCAGAGAACTGTCGAATCTCCCGCTTGGAACGTCGCCATCACCGCAGTTTCATGGGGTTTGCTTTACTTGACCTTTATTTGACCATTTCGTTCTTCATTTTCAGACCGCGTTTGACTTCTCCGCGCATTTGCGCAAGCACGCACAGGTCAGCAACGAAAGCCTTCAATCACCGTTTTGTTTGGCCTCTCGTTGTTCCATGCAGACCAAGTTGCGTTGGTCAGTTGGCGTAACAGAAAGCAGCGGTTCGCAACAAATTTAACCGATTTTACTTCTTAGAGCATACAGTAGGTGGGCTAACTCATGAAATGTTAGCCTAAATTCCGAATTGCGTTTTCGTTTCGGAAAGATTAATTAAATAGGGTCGTAAATCTGATTATCATGAAGTGTAATTAAACAATTACCCAGTTACCAAAGGATGTCGGTTTTTGAGAGAACTTCTTTTCGGCAGCATGCAAACATTATACAATGTAAGTAATGGCTGCTTAATTGGCGTGAATTCTTCTCATTGATTTCCGATGTTCTCAAAAATACAATCATAGTCCATAGAAAAAATACATGAGAATATTCATTATATTGCTTATTCGGTAAAACTTGACGTCTTCTTTCAATTTTATACTCGATGAAGGGGTATAATTCGGTCTCAAAAAGGTCTCTTATTGTTCAATTTTTTATAACCGTGAAATGACCGTTCCTAAAACGTCATGTCTCTGCATTTACCAATGTGGCTTGTTATGTTTACAATGAGGCTCAAATTTACTGCTAACGTTTATTAACGCCATATAGTCTTCTCTTCATATCCGAGAGAAATGCACGGTTTTCCATACGCAAAAAATATACGGCATGTAGTTTGAAAACCCTGAATGCAAGTATAACGGCAGCTTGGGTTCAAAATCGTTCTAGAATTGAAATAGTTTTGAAAACCCGAATTATACTCTTCCTTTGTAGATAAAATTGAAACATATTGAGTCAAATTGTTGAATTTACAAGACGCACTAGTAAATGCCGAGACATGGCTTTTATGAACGGCCATTTTATGGTATTAAAAATTCTCACATTTAGAAACTTTTTGAAAACCGAATTATGCCCTTCCTTAGTCTATAAAATTGGAAGAAGACGTACTATTCTAGTGAATGAGCAGCAGAATGAATATTTTATGAATGGTTTCCGTGAAATATAGTTGCGTTTTTGCGGGCATCGAAAATCCTCGAGAAAAATGCATACTTATGTTAGGTAGTCATTTTTTACAGAGTATAGTTTTTGCGTAAAGCCGGAACGAAATTCGTTCGAAAGCCGGCATCCTGAGGTAACTGAATTATTATAGAATTACGCTGCACAATAATTAGTTTTGCAATCCTATTTGATTAATCTTCTCGAAATGAAAACTCAATTCGGAATTTCGGTTAACATTTCATGAGTTAGCCCACCTACTGTATATATGTATTAGCGTATCCATCGCAAATGACTAAACGTACCTCACGCTGCAGGTTCATTAGATTATGAACGGTCTACCTTTAACTCGTTCAATTAGCCATCTCGCGCCCAGCCAGTGCGAGTTTCGGATAGTCTCGCCTGCAGGTCTGCCTGAACTATGACCTATCGGTTGAATGTTTTAAGTTTGTTTAATACCTACTGGGTGTGGAGGTCCTGCCCTCCAAACGGGTCACGTGTTAGATGCGTTGGACCAACACGGGGACCATATCGAACCCTGGCAGACATTATTGGAATGCGTACCACAACAAATACTAGTATTTCAGGGGTGGGATGGCAGACCCAGATTCCGGCTGACGTCGCGCACATTGGGGCCCCTGTCGTCTCCACCCATTTTTCTTGCTGGTTGAAATCCTGGTCGTTTGCTATGTGGACTAGGAAGTGTGGAATGGAGCACCAAGGTCCGTGTCATCCATCTGCGCCCCCCACACCTTCGGCCTTCTTAACTCTGCTTCGACATCGGGTCCAGGTGGAGGAGGGGGAAGAGGAGGAGGAGGAGGAGGAGGAGGAAGGGGTGCGTCAGGCGCTGCGCAAGTCCGCTAACACTACAAGCCAACTCGTGTACAAGTCGCCGTGTCTGCCCTACTCTTGCTGTGGAGCACACGGTGGACCTCGCCAGGCACGATGGTCGAACTGTCGGGTATGAGGGCAGCGCCTCACATACATAGAAAAGGATCATGCTGATGGAAGCCGGCGTACGCGCAACTGGGTCTTCGCACTGAAATCACGCCAATGCCTCTAAAAGACTGTTGGTAGGACGGGGGACTGTGGACTCCTCCTCCTCCTCTTCGTATTTCAGATGCTACTGAGCTAAACTCCAGGCGGTTTAGGGTTAGAGTTATAAGGATTAGTGCTGGGATGGGAGGTCAAGTTAGGACACGAGAATTTGGCGCAAGGCCACCTGTCGTCCGGAGGGCTCTTCACTCCCGCATCCGACCTAGCACTTCCACGTACATCCTCCTGCCTCCCGTCAATTGAAACAGTAAGAAGGAGTGTAGATTAAGGAAAGTGCCCGTGCCAGATTCCGACAAAAATGTGGCAGAAAGCGCGCCACGCTAGATGAAATGGATGGAGAATATTTGCTACATTTCATGAAGCGCTGATTTTTACTACTTCACGCTCGTAGGCATGAAGCCAAGCCCCCAGTTACTTTCCGCACTGTGCGTGCTCATCCCAAACGACAGACTTCAAAGGAAGCCAAGTAAAGCCCAAGAAGGAACATTAACTAGTGCGTACCTCTAAGGGTTGAAGTTGGTTTTCGTGAAAGCAGAAGGTCAGAATGTAAGTAAGGAAGTGGGCGACAAGATTTCCTTTCTCATCATCGCAAATAACGGCCTCTCCTGACTTAACTTATCGTGATGTGGACTTGTTTCATTTTGGACATTTCTTCATAAGGTTCTCTTTCATGCTCTCCGAGCAGACCGGTAAATACCACTGCAGATTGGCAACTGCAGCCGACGAAATGGTGAACCCGGTAATCCGCTGGAGCTTAAATGCCCAACAAATCACTGGATCCGCCTTCAAACCGAGGGAATATTTGAATTTTAGGGTTTCCTTATCACTAGCCAGTGGCGGCCTGAAAAACAGAGATGGTAATTCAAATGTCTTTCACTTGTGCTCAAGTGTCAGACTCACCGACCTTTAACATAGCAGGTCAACCTCCGCATCGCTTGCTTGCTTCATGTTCAGGACGTTGGGCATCTGGAATATCAACTTTTTTCACCCATTGGGTTTTCTTACTGTCGTTTTTGACAACGATCGGGTGAAGGCCCCCCAAACACACATGACTAGCTAAAAGTGCTTGTCTTGCGGGAAAGGTGGTAAAAGGGATTTTACGGGCGGGGCCTATGTATGCATAGATGAATGACAAAATAAGTATAAATAATTGGTAAATTTGTTTTTTCGGACGGAAAAGTTTTTATGCATTGACATATGGCAACGAAAATTACGTAGGACAGTTAAAAAATTGGCATTTAATGTCTACAGCTAAGATTATTGCAGATAATCCATCAGACTGTCTACAACGATCGTTTCTCAACTCTCCGAGCTGAGATCATTGTACATAATGCACCAGACCGTCTACAACAGAAGACGCAACCTTGTACGATGAAACGTCAAACCGAAATAACCGTGCTGGACTAAAAACCACTTAAATAAGTATAGTATGTATACTTTGTAGGCCACAGATGATTGGGGGCCTTAACCCGATTCTTACCTCGTTTGTACTGAGGGCTCGTAAGATATAGGTTGGCAGTTCGTGAGAACAGGCTTATTAACACCCCACCTTGTCCGCAACATTTTAAAATAATAAGTTGCGTCCTAGCAGGTTCTTAGAGTTTTACTGGTGGCTAGCGCAAAGTGTTTTGGATGGAGCTTTCGGTATTCCTTCCCTTCTTCTATCGGAGAAAGTCGCAGACAACATAATTCAAACGACAAGCACGCCTCGCTGGCAGGGTTAGTATAATTCTCAAGTGTTAATGCCTTGCTCTTGTAGTATGTCACTTCGCAAATACTACTGTGTCAGCGTAAACCGAAAACGGGGTCAAAACTTTGTAGACTCATATGATTTTTTTTATCAGATCGACGTGTCTCCCATAGGCTAATCCCTACCAAACACGAAGGGAAGGAACGCACCCATGTATATGTCCTGTGGAGACTGAAGTAATACGGACGTTTGGCGATTGTTAATTTTATCAGAGGTTTTATTCAGTTGAGGGCCCTGAACTGATCTATCATGGCTGCGGCACAAGAATGAGTATTTCTAAAAGTCCATAGCCCACATAGGCGTTCACATGATGACTAACAAAAAAGGATCGGGGAGTGTTTAACGACAAATGCCCAAATACACAAATGTCCATTTCTGGCATATTTCTCGTCATCAGCCATCGGTGTCCGATCTCGGACTGCACACGTGAGCTTCAAATTTAGGTGAAATTACTCACTCCGTCCCGCAGTCAAGGAGAATCTACGCGTGCCATCCTCCTGATCTCAACCGACAAGTCGCGAGTTCGGTAGGGCGGTGTCGTGAGTGTTACTTGATGTCTAACTTAGTAGGAATTTGAATAGCTGGTATGCAGACCAGGACTGGGGCATCAGAGTTTCATAACGGTTAATAAGTCAAGAGAAAGTCTTTCTAGTGCTTCTATTTTTGACGGTAAATACTTCTCAAAGCTCTGCTTGTAAGCAATTGGCTTCTAAAATTTAATTCAATTGCATGCTTCTGCACCTTAGAGCCTGCCGAAGAGTATCTCCTAAACGCAGGTATTTTATTAACGGCACTGCATCAAAGGATGTGGAAACGCACAAACATCTGGTCATGCAGACAACTGTAAATTCGATGTCGTCAGGACATTGTAAGGAGGTGGTTCAGAGAGCAACGAGTACTTTTCACTGGATCAGATCTGTGTTTAAAGTATTTCCTTGTGAACATTTCAGAAAAATCTTCGGCATTTTCGTGAGATCCCATTTGGACTACGAAATGCCAGCTTGGACGCCGAGGATGAGGAAAGTTACTGGTCTCCTCCAGTAGGTGAAAATCAGAACAACGAAGATGGTCGATGGTCTTAAGGATTTAGCGCACGAGAGTAGGTTGAAATAGCCTGACTTAGTTCCCCTATCAAGCAGGAGCTTAGGGTGTAGCCTACATTGGACGTTCCGAATTTTCCGCGGTTATGGTTGCTCGCTGAGACCGGAGACAATTGTTTGAGCTTGCATGCAAAACACACCTATGTGGTCCTAAGTACAAGGTCAGAAGCGAACGCACACAACTAGACGGCCGAAAAGTTTTCTTCAGCCCAGCAACTGTTGCTTCTAAGAGAAAGCTTGCTTGCAAAATTGTCAACAAAACGTGCCTTTTACAACCTGATTATTTACGGCCAGCCTTGTAGACACTTCGTGCTCGGACATCCCTCCGCACTGATTTACACTGAACAGCAATAATCATTTCGAATTGTGTTCTATTTTGACTCGAACACATACTAAATGTTTGCGGTCGTATACTGACTGTAAACATGAGAAATCTACAAACAAATTAATGCGACCTACAAGAGCGCTGCCTTTCAGTATACATACGCATATATACTCTCTGTCATTAATGAAAAAAGTATGAATGGAATGAATAAATATCATTTGCGCTAAGCCATCCTTGACTGCGATTTTACTACTCATGCCTACGTTGATGAGTATTTAGGCCCAGCCAGCAGTCCTCACATCTCCCCGCATATGGCGAAGATATTGCTGCAGACGTGTTGAGTGCAGTGCAGCAACAAAATGAATGGAATGGCGAAAAAACAGCAGCATGAAACTGGCAGTGCAAAGATGACAGTCCACAAAAGTATTCGTGGTAAACGGCAATACTGCGAATTATTTTTGATGAAAACGTTGATTTTCAAGAAGTGCTAGGCATGAATCAGTGTGACATTAAAATTGAACTAAACAGAACAGTACGACAAGCGCTTAAGGCAGCTTCTTTTTTCAATATATTTGAGGGAAATAGGCTTAGTTTTCGGATTTCCCATTTGCACCTAAAAATCTAAACAAATTGGCAATAACATGAAGACATTCTAGTAACAAATGAACGCAGACACCGGTTCGCATAGGGCACTGGTGTTTATGGTTACAAAGTTACGTAGTCCGCTTGATGGTGTAACATATGTCTGTCAAGCCGATATTTAAAGCTCTCCAAAGACTGAGACATTACGACCGCCTCAGGCCGGTTCTTCTACAGTTCGATTACACGGTTGGGGAAAAATACTTTCTCACATTCAAGCTTCCCTTAGGGAAACGTAGTTTGAATGGATGTCCGCGGAAGTTATTTGTAGTAGCGAGTCGGAAAAAGTCGTCTGACCAATTATCCGTCGCTTCTTGGCGACGTTTACAATCACGGTGATAGTTTTCACTGCCCACAGGAAATCCGTCTTTTTGAACCGTCGATTTTTGTTCTACATGCTGGAAAAGTCCGCATGAACCAAGTAATTACGGAATTCAGCTTGGTTGCCCGCTAACTGCTCTACCACAACGTCCCATATTTCACTTAAAAGCCTCTCGAATGTGACACCGACAATGACGTACAGTGTAGGCGATTCAAGTTACTTGTTATGACAACAAGCACTCATTGAGTTTTCTGTGACAGGTTTCGAGAACTCAGAAAACTCCGCCGTTGTTTCTGGTGGAGAAGACGAGTGTAAATTCATGGGACTACGGTTGATGCGCGAATTGAGAAGTGAGCTATTATTTGTGTTTTTCTTTATAGTCATCATGCGTGGATCAGTGTTAGAGGGATTTCTACAAATGTGACACATCACATGAAAAGAAACCACGAGTTTCTCAACTCTGGTCCTGTTCATGCTCTCGTCCGAGGCGGTGATCGTCTGCCCGCTGATTCGCGAACGTACTCCAGCGGCGTTAACGGCCTGAACCACTGAATGCCACAGCAGACTGCAACAAACTTAAACGGTTGGCAGTTCATTTAAAGTGAGGTCGTGAAGTTTGGGTAGTTGCATCCAAAGAACCAGCTACCCCGAACGACATTTGAAGTTCTTCCCAGATCGGCGAGAACCTAACAAACGGATGCATTCCCCTGTCAACGAATTGATCTACAACTAGGCAGGGCTGAGTTAAGTTCAGCTTATTGAGGGAAATAGGCAACGTAAAAAAATTTGTTGTATGCAGAAAAATGTTCTGGGCAGAAATAGTTCAATCAAGCCCATAATGGTAGGACAAAATGGGGACGAGTTACAGGAGTGAGCTCTATTTCTAATCGCTCTTGGTCATTTGGGAACATAAATATGCAAAGATTATTTTTAAAACTTTGTATAGATGGTAACATCCCAAAATCCGTGGGTTCATAGGAACAATTGCGCGATCTCAACTAGCAATTTAGTTCAGTATATCTGAGGGAATTTGAGCGTCCAACTTTGAACTCTCCGTATGTTGCGATTAGTCAAAATATAATGAGGAATTCAGAAAAAGAAACGCTAAACACTGCAGAAAAATGGCCAGAACCCTGCAGAGCCACGGCCTATTAGAAGTGTTAACAACATTGACATGTTAGTGCGCAGAACAGTATTCAATTCAAATAACTATGCTCTGGGAGAATTGCAAAATGTCACTTAACATCACGCGCCCAGGTGCATAGCGGTGATCTCTTACAATATAGGGAAGGCGGAAAATTAAGCCTCAGAAAGGAGTGCCCCTGAAATCTGCATCGTAGTACCTCTGTAGTGGCTCTAGTCCGGCCACCAGTGGCAAAACTTCGCCACTCCAGATCACTTACATGTCAAGTGTCGGTAATCGTTTGATAATAGTCTTGCATTTCTCGCCGCCAGCGCGAAATTTCATTTAGTACATAGATCACTACGTCCACTGCTCCATGTTCAAATCTGTCACAACGAAACACTTAACAGCCTTCAAAACTGACTTCGCTGTTACTTATTTCCTCATTCAAGCATGTCTCTGTCAATAGATTTATGTGATGTTCCTGTTAGAGGCTAGTAATTTGAGTTTATCTAGTTTGTTGAAAAGACCATGACCGTGCAACAGACTTCTAGACAGCGACCACTAATGCTCATAGTAATCTCGAATGTGGCGTGCCTCAGGACAGCATGCCTGAGACATTTTTCCACCTCGATAGTCACGAAACGATAAAGCCCGCCATGTGCCACATGAAGTGAGTGCGACACCGGTGAGGTGGTTTGTAGTGTCATTAGACCTGTGCAGCACCTGACACGCCCTTTCCTCCCTCATCCAACTGGGCCTTGTGCCAGGACAAAGAGAGGACGTATGTTGATAAATCATTAGTAACAGGTACACCAACATATTTTAATGCTTGGGGAGTATTGCGGCCTACCGAAACGTTTTGCTTCTACTGGTTTGCCTCGCATAATATTTTTGGTTTCGGCACTGCAACTTAATCCTCCTCCCCGTATTACGAGTGGTCATGCCTCAAATTCTGAGGAAGTTCTAGTTCGGTCAGGGTTCCTATTAGAGTTAGGGTTAATGTAAGATTTAGCCTTAGGGCTAGGTAGGTTAGGAACAGGGTTATGGTCAGTACCAGGGTTAGGTCAAAGCGTGGAGTTAAGATAATGTTCGAAGGTAGGACAGAGAAATACAAAACCTTGGAATTTTACGCGAGACAATCTGTTCTACTCGGGAGTCCGTATTCTTGAGTTCCATCGTTCTTGTTCCAAGACTTTTAAGATGACTAATAATACAACTAGTAAAATACGGGATTCAGTCCCCTATCTTGATTTTTACAGTCCCTTCCTCCAAACCCTATATCAAGTGGTATACAGTTGAGTCCTGATTTGAGAACCACATCCTATTACTCCTGGAGTATTCCAGAAATTGATCTTAAGTTCTTGTGAATTTTTCGTATATATTCCTGACTTAACGCTTATATTAGCTGCAGTCAAAGTGTTTTTATATTCACGCAACCTAAAACTCACATATGCATCTAACGAACACCCAGTAGCCAGCATGCACTGAATAACCGAAACTGATTTTTTAAAAGTCTACTGAAAGAAAGGACTCAATGGCAGATGCCGCTCTCAAAGACAAGATGCCATCTCCTGATTTTTTTCAACAAAAACTTCTCCCACACACTTTTCGGCGATCACGAAATAAGGGGACCATTATCAATAAACGGCCTAGGTCTGAGCTATACACATGTATTTACTCTATCCACCACGCTTAACAAATTTCCCCAGAAGCCATTCGTTCATGTGTATTCTTCTGTAAAATTTTCATCTTAAATACACTAAAAACGCACTTTTATGAAGTGTACGCTCTACTTTTCCTATGTTATTATATCACTTTTCTTTAGCATAGTGCTATCGGATGACCAAAAGAAACAGGGAGGTATTCAGCGACGCTTGATTAGGTCTTCGGCTAAACGCGACGGCTTACACGACTCATACGCATAGTTATGCAATAAATACAGCCGTAGACTTCTACGGGTCAAGAGACTCCAAACTGATTTCAATATCTTGTTTAGTCCGTCTGACCCGGATATGATCAAAATGGATATGCTAACAAGCCAAAGAGGTCCCCAGGACACTAACAATAACGAAGATGCCACTAGAATTCAAAAATTCAGGAATTTCTGTTCGTCAAGATGTGTAGCTATATGCAATACCTGCAAAAATATCATCCGACAAAATCGAGGCCTAATGGAACTTGAAATATAAACCAATAAATTTCTAACAAATTATGATATAGGTATATTTTTGAATTTCACAGGACACTTTTGAGCCGTTTTTGTAGCGCATAATTTGGACTACAAGGGATCTGATGACGCCAACCACAGGATAAACATTAAATTCTAAACCTAAGGACATTTAAATATGACATAAACAGGAGAATTGCATAAACAGGCCGTAAATAGTAGTATCTCCTCTTTTTTTTCTTGTTTCATAAATTAACCTTTCATGCGTAAAAACGTTTTCAGCAACATATACTAACATACCTTCAATAAACCGATACAAACTGGTTGCCTGCAAGGCTAGATATGACAATACTAATCCACCCAAAATATCCTATTATCAGAGAGAACATACTGACTGATACAACATAATTTTTCGTAGGTTTGAAAGAAAGTTACCGCTGAACATTTTCTCCTCTCGTTACATATTCATCCTTTCAGCTATAAGTCCAAATAACTCTACATAAACCATAGTAATCAACGGTGTTGAAAGACAGGAATCTGCACTGACTTTTACAACGCACCGCGGGTCTGACAGAGTTCTGTAAGTGGATTTAAGTTACTTTTTTGGGGAAATTAAGGGAGAGAACGGCGTAGCCGCATGTCGGCAAATATGGTCGTTGTCCTCTACTTTCTTACCGCTGACATCTTTTCCGCTCTCGCAAGCCGCCTGCTTTCTCTTTATCGTCACCAAATCCCCATGGTCTTCTTTTAAACAAATAAATAATTTTTATTCGAGACCCTTGGGGGTCCTGCCATTGCAAGTTATAATGGATTTTCATGAGAATTTTGGGACAGATAGACAAAATCTGTACAATACTAGATTCATAGTTATTGAATAAGTAGTCCGCTACGAAAAATGATGGGCGGGCAGCGAAAAAACCATTATCGAATAAACGAAATGAATATTGCTGGATTAACATTATAGGAGGAAAAAACTGTCTCTCATGAAAGGATAAAAAGCGGGCAGAACCGGCCTGCATGTGGCAGTGTATAACGGATCTCATAAAGGGGTAGGTAAACGGAGGACAGGACTGGCCTGCGTGCGATATTGAGTAAAACGTTTGAAACGGACGTAGTTGATGCCCAGTTCACCGCTGATAGCTTCAATTATTTCCTGCCCCAAACGTTCATTGAAGACTCTACCACTCCGCTTCCGACCATCCAACCATTGTCCGGGGCAGTTCTAGAAACAATAACTTTCACTCAGTGGGATGTGACTGTTGCGATTCGGCGTCTTCGTCAATCTTATAGTCCAGGACCAGGTGGTGTCCCAGTAAGCATTTTAAAAGCCGATGCAAACACGATCTTCCCATCCCTCTTATGCAAGATATTTAATCTTGCTCTTGAAACTGAAACTTATCCTACCATTCCTAAGCACGGCAAATCTACATCATTAGATGACTTTCGACCAATAAACACCCTCCCTGCAGTTTCGAAGATCTTAGAGACATTGATCAAAGAGAAGATGATGTGTCACTTAACAGTGAATAACTTACTGAGTGCTGCTCAGCATGGATTCCTCAAAGCTCGATCTTGTGACACCTGTCAACTCTCTTTCTTTGACTATGTTCTCCAATCTAGGGACCATGGTTTGCACTTTACACAGTATATTTCGATTTCACTATAGCTTTTGATCGTGTTGACCATGCTCTTCTTCTCTTAAAACTGTCCTCTTTCGGAATAGGTGGCAAACTTTTGAATTTTATATCCACTTATTTGGGCACTCGTACGCAACAAGTTAAGATTTCCAATACCATCTCTAATCCCACACGTGTGTGGAGTGGAGTCATTCAGAGCAGTGTACTCGGCCCACTTCTATTTTGCCTTTTCGTTAATGATGTACCCGATTTATTTCAGAATGATAAGCCTTTCATGCATGCCGATGATCTGAAAGTTGCATATCGATATAAGCCGGCAGATCATGACATCGTGCTCGAGCTCCTTAAGAGCGATCTACATACTTTCGCCCAGTGCTGCCGCACATGGCGCCTTTCTCTTTCTTGGCATAAGTGCTCAGTCATGGTGGTTGGCGACGACCGCCAACCTCAACTAAGTATTGAAGGTCACGCAATAAATGTGCCCAGGGTTATAAAGGATCTGGGCATATCATACTCCAAGAGTCTCAATCTCTCGGAGCACTGTGCCTTGATAGTCTCCAAAGCACGTAGAACGACCGGGTTTATCCTCCAAAACTTTAAAACTAGGGACATCAGAACGCGCCTTTACAACATGTACGTTAGACCTGGTCTGGAATACTGTTCGTTTTTATTAAGCCTCATGCGTGCTACTGAGCGGAAGAAAATAGAATCCGTTCAATACTTTTTTACCAAGAGAATTTTAGCCGCGGAACACCGACATTTGTCTTACAAAGATCGTTGCCGGCTTAGAGGCCCTGATCCTTTATGGTTCCGCAGATTACAAAAGAGACTATTTCTGCTATTTAAACTCTTATATAATCACACATTTAACCCACTGACCTCTTTAAGACATCATATCCACCCACGACGTAACAGTCACCGTGAGGTCTTTTTATTTCTGCCTCTGGCACGTACTGTTAAATATAGTCAGTTTAAGTCAGTTTATTAAGGGAATGGGGCTTTCGCCCTTGAGCTCCCTATTCATATCGATAAACAGAAATAAAGTCATCAATTACATCAGCAAATGCGAAAAGTTAAGAAGTTAGCGGTAAGTGTGAGCTAGGCGCAAACTGCCGCCGCTAAAACAATCATTATTATATGTACAGTAGGTTCTCAACAAATGAGCGTCTAGTCTGCACTTAAAGGATTTGACACTTTCAGAACGAAGGACGGCTTCAGGGAGTCCATTCCATGCCCCGATGACCCTGTGAGAGAAGGCGTTCCGTCGGACGTCCGAATGAGCCCGCTTCCTTTGCAGTTTGAACGGATGACCACGCAGACGGTCAGTCCGGGCCAATTCAAAGAATTCATCAAAGTCTAGGGCACACACACGGCTTCTGACAATCCTGTGGGTTTGAATGAGATCGCCGCGCAGTTGCCTGTAATTAAGAGAAAACAGATTTAGTTCGGTCAGCCTGGTTTCGTAAGGCAAATGATAAAGATTCTTGACCATCTTCGTAGCCATCGCCTCTACTCTTTCCAGTCGTTGATAATCTTTCTTCAACCACGGTCGCCAGGCCTGGACTGCATACTCTAAGTGAGACCGGACGACTGCCCCATAGGTTTTTCCGAACAGCTGTTTATCGATCTGTACAAATCCGCGCCTTAGCGTCGGTTCTATTCTGTAAATGCTATTGCTTTTTGGAATAAACTACCCGTGACTGTGAAAACTCTGCAAAATTATCCTTTATTTAATAGAACTATTACCCGATAGTTGCATTCAGAAAAGCTCCCACAAATTTTGGGTGCGGAATTCACTGATGGACTCTACCGTAGCGATGGCGCTTGTGGTCCCTAAACACTATGGCCGGTCTCACCAGCTGTTCCTCAACGTCCCTACTTTGACTATCCCCAACTTTATGAAAGGAATTGACGTCTGATAATCTCCGATACCGTGCAACCCCGCCCTCCCTTCTTGACGGTCGAACACCTACCACCAGCAGTTTTTTTCTTCTGAACCCCCCAAACCATAAAAACCACCATCAACTAGATATTTTTTTACCTCAGGAGTTTTTTTTCACTGCTGGTCGGATTTGTGTTTAATCGCTTCCCTTGACAATGCCTGTAAACTGGCATTAAATAAATTATTATTATTATAATCAGGGCAGAATTCATATGTCGGATGAGGCCATTCACGTCAAAGTGGCGAGACGAGAGGAACCCAGACGCGATTGATCACAGTCCGCTTCGAGTCCAGCCGAGAAGTGAGGAAGGGAGGTACGACCAAACTACTAGTAGGCGGCGAACACAGAGGGTTCCGCCAAGAACGTAGACGGATCGCCTAGGACTGAAATGAAGAGATAACCTCAAAAGCCGTAGAAATCAACGATTGGCGTTGGGGGTTTTAAATCGCGGATTCCAGAGTGGAATTCTGATGTGTCGGCGATCAGCGAAACCGAGGCGGCTTACAGCGTGCACGTCAACCTATCCAAGCTATTTCTTTGCGAGAATTTGTCAGAAAGTATATGGTATTCTGTGAGGGGCACGATGCAGGAACTGAAAAATCGAAAAAATCGACATTGTTGATGAAGGGTCCCAGGAAGCGATACTACACACGGAAGAAGTAAATGTGAGCGGAGGCGGCAATTTAAAAGCGGAGTCCTCAATTCCCGGTTAGTCTAACGTTTCCATGGCCAGAGAACTATCCCGAGGGCTTTGTCTAGCCGAATAGGTGTTGTTTTTAGACTTTCCACCCTTGCATTGGTGGCATCGGAGAGACCATGGGACGCAAGCACACAGCACGCCCAGACATCAAATCTGACAGCGCTGAGGACAGTGCTGCGTCTCAGGAGGGGACTGTGTATTGGCACAACCGCCCTGAAAGTGCGGATCAAAAGTGGAAATGGCGTTAACACGTGTAGGGCAGGATGGCTGATCCCCTTTCCTCGTAACCTTTGACTTTCTCTTCCGCCGAAACTCACAACAACGTTATCTGCTCTCCTAGTTCGGCAATGTTTATGGCCCGCTCCTTCATTCACACACAGCGCCACACTCCCCACCCGGTAGTCCACTTGACATAAACAGGGCGCCGCTCACTCCAGAGTGGTCATTAGTATATGCGACGCCATGTTTCCTTGTACAACTGAAGTATATCTCTTTCCTTAATGCATTATGAATTTCATAGGTTTTGAACTCTTTCTCCTACAAAGTCCATACATGCGTGTTTGATGTTGCGCTCAACAAGTTTGTCCAACGCTTACATAACCGAGAAACTCTCGCGAGTTTTATTCAACAGTGTGCGTCGTCCCCATGTCTTCTGTTGCTAAACTTCGTCCCCGCTTTTGTTTGCGCGCGTAGGCAGACTAGGCAAGACGAGTACCTTTTCTAAGAATTCCAATATCAGATCGTGACAAAAGCGAACTTCAGTTCAGCCTTGTCAGTCTTAAACAACTAAATTAAAGATGATTTTCTGGCTGTAACATTCTTAAACTTCGGCGGCAGAAACCTCACATAGTGACAGGACACGTCTGCTTATATAAGCAACACTTGGTCGCTTGTCAGATGTCTAAGTTCCCGGATAATACAACTGTAACGCACCGCCGACTCCCTATATTATATTCATCAACGTTTCGGTGTTACCTTTAAGCAAGCGCAGGTTCTTGAACCCCGGTAACACCGCCGCGCTTTAGTCGCGCTCTCACCACTTTTATTAACCGTATCAATTTTATGTGTTTTCGTCCCAAACCTGCAGTCTGCGTCTCTTTCACTGAAAACTTTTGAGTAGGGGGTTTTCATATATTTATTTTATGTTTTCCGAGTACTTTTCTCGTCGATCAAGCGTCCGCTGTACCGCTGCAGGGACTACAGTCGTTAACCACCTTCACCCTAACCATCCTCCCTGATTTTAAGTCAGTTTAAGTCAGTTTATTAAGGGAATGGGGCTTTCGCCCTTGAGCTCCCTATTCATGTCGATAAACAGAAATAAAGTCATCAATTACATCAGCAAATGCGAAAAGTTAAGAAGTTAGCGGTAAGTGTGAGCCAGGCGCAAACTGCCGCCGCTAAAACAATCATGATTGTATGTACAGTAGGTTCTCAACAAATGAGCGTCTAGTCTGCACTTAAAGGATTTAACACTTTCGGAAAGAACGACGGAATCAGGGAGTCCATTCCATGCCCCGATGACCCTGTGAGAGAAGGCGTTCCGTCGGACGTCCGAATTAGCCCGCTTCCTTTGCAGTTTGAACGGATGACCACGCAGACGGTCAGTCCGGGCCAATTCAAAGAATTCATCAAAATCTAGGGCACACTCTCGGCTTCTGACAATCCTGTAGGTTTGAATGAGATCGCCACGCAGTTGCCTGTAATTTAGAGGAAACAGATTTAGTTCAGTCAGCCTGGTTTCGTAAGGCAAATGATGAAGATTCTTGACCATCTTCGTAGCCATCGCCTGTACTCTTTCCAGTCTTTGATAATCTTTCTGTAACCACGGTCGCCAGGCCTGGACTGCATACTCTAAGTGAGACCGGACGAATGCCCCATAGGTGTTTCCGAACAGCTCCTTGTCGATCTGCACAAATCCTCGCCTCAGCGCAAATAACACCCTTATCGCACTTTTGGCTGCCCTTTGACACTGTGAAGATGGTTTCAGCGAGGAGGTCATTAGGACTCCCAGGTCTTTCTGTTCCACAACATTTGAAAGGGACTGACCACCAAGGACATATTGAAAGGAATCGTCCTCCTTACTGGTCTGTCTGGTGCGGAGTCTCAGGACCACACATTTGTCCACATTAAAATTGAGGAGCCAGCGAGCTGACCAACTGTTCAGGCGGTTGAGACTGTCTTGAAGCGCGTACCTGTCTGCATCAGATCTGATGGGTCTCCACAGCTTAACATCGTCAGCAAACATGATGGCGCTGCATCCCAGGTCGTCGACGCAGTCGTTAATGTAAACCAGGAATAGCAACGGCCCTAAGACGGAGCCCTGGGGTACACCACTTAAAACGGGAGTCGGAGTTGACCTTGAGGCCTCAACGCACACGGTTTGCGATCTCCCGTTAAGAAAATCTGTTATCCATGTCAGCAGCGTTCCTCTTATTCCAATTTCAGATTAGGCGTTTGTGTGGGACGCTGTCGAACGCCTTCTTAAAGTCGGTGTATATGACATCAACCCTCCCATCCTCATCCAGTGCGCGAGTCCACTGCTCCGTCGAGAGCAATAAACTGGAAAGACACGAGCGGTTCTGTCTAAAGCCGTGCTGCAGGTCTGAGATTAAATGGCCCTGCTCCAGGAACTCCATAGTTGCTTTCTTAACTATGGCCTCCATTATTTTACAGCAGATGCAGGTTAGACTAACAGGCCGGTAATTGTTAGCATTAGTGCGAGCCCCGCCCTTGTATATCGGAAAGATATTTGCTGTCTTCCATTCCGATGGCAACCTCCCTAATTCGAATGACGAGCGGAAGATGTGCGCCAGTGGTTTGGAAAGTTCATTCGCCAGTTCCTTCAAGAATTTGGCCGGTATATTGTCCGGACCCGAGGACTTTGCTTCTTTGAGATTTTTCAGCTCCCTTTCCACGGCAGCTGCCGGGAAGAGTATGGAGTCAAGCACGGGACCAACAGTCTCAAGAGCATTGCCGGTACTGCGACAGCGAAAATCAGTTTCTCTAGTAAAAACGGAGGCAAAATACTGTCCTAAGTGTTCGGCTTTCTCGTTGTTCTCAATGATCTCTACACCATTATCATCATTCAGCACCGCGACCGGGTCTTTATTTTTCAGTCTACTGTTCAGATAGTGAAATAAAATCTTAGGCTTCTGTTCAGCCTGTCGTATAATTTTGGATTCATACTCCTTCCGTGCCTGACGGATACATTTTTTGACGGCGTTTCGTTGACGACGAAATTCTTCGAAATGCGCTGGTGACGCAGTTTCCCTGAATATTTTCCATCTTTTGCTTTTCTTCCGTAGCTGCTTATTTAGGTCCCTAGTTAACCAAGCAGGTCGACTAGTTGTTTTTTGTACTTTAGGTGGACAACAGCGCCTAATCAGATCGAGTGAAATCGTTTTAAAAGATCTCCAGTCGTCCTCCGGATCTCCCCTGAATATTTGGTCCCAATTCACGGACAGCAATTCGTTCTTCATCATATTAAAATCTGCCTTCCATATATTAGGTTAGCCCTCTGTTCTCTTCTGGCGTTTAGAGAAGAGCGAGTAATCCCATAATAGCGTGGTATGGTCACTTTTCCCGAGAGGTGCATTGGAATACACTTCGTCGATATTAGAGAAGTCCTTAATGAAAACTAGGTCTAGACAATTTGCTCTCTGGTTCTCTCGAAATCTTGTTGGTACCTTCACATGTTGCGCCACTGAATTCCAATGCCTGAGTTGGATGGGAAGACTTATGGCTTTAAGTATAAAAATGATCAGATATTCAGGATTCTTTCATTCGCATGAAACCACTTGTGACTTTACGAAATGATCGAGTGACTTGTTTGACTTTGCCTTATTTTTTGTCAATTTTTCAAGTCAAGATCGCTGCTTTTGATTCTCAAACTTGGTCTTGAGTTTTGCGCAGGCTCGGATGTATTATGGTTGCTGAGCAACGGTTATTGAGTCATGTCATAATAGAAACTAAAAAATGTACATTCCTTTGGCGTTTGGCATTCGTTAAAGCCAAGAGCTCTTGACGTAAGGCGTAAGCTTGGCAGCAGACTTTACATCAGTTCAGTTCAGTTTATTGAGGGAAATAGGCTTAAGCCTTTGAGTACCCTACTTGCAACGTAAAAAATGTGTGCTGTACCGATTCGAACAAAGATACTCTATCCTAGTCATTCGTCCTACCCAACAACCATATTTCCTGGCTTACAAACTGCTAATTTGGGTTAACTCGTCTATTTAACTGCCTACGTCTGACCAACACATGTTATAGACCTATCGCAAGGAGTTCTAAATAATGGGACTGCTTGTAATCCCATCCCTTGCGTTTGCAGCGTCGGAGATAAAGCCTAGGTGAATCTCACCCTGTTGGGAGACTGACGTGCCTTAGCCCTCGCCCCACGTCGGGGCTAAAAACGACAATCTAGACACTTTGTAGAATACGTGTGTCGTGTCTTTGTCTGCCACTGTAACCCTATGACCTAAACTGCTTGACCAGCACAGTGGGAACACCCCAGTTTCTGCGAATGCTCGATGGTTTGCTATCGAGTTTTTTTAAGGTGTGGAGTTTTCCGCTTCTCTAACTTCGCTTTTCCTCACTTGACCAGCCTAATGCCCCCTACATTAAGAATCCCCCGCTCCACTTTATCTCCTTCGCGTTCTGTCTAACGTCGGCGATCTTTTTAGGCCTAAACTAACCATAGGATGTTGCAAAATCATTTCTGGCTGAGACTAGTGTCTGCTTCGCGGTTCACCGTGCCTGCGTCCATCTGTCTTCCTGGCGCATCTTCCTGCCAGACCTACAGAGGCTTCGCAACCCGCAAAACACCACAACCTCACAAGACCGTGACCTCCCGGTTGACGGGGAAGAAGACTAAGCTTTGGGATCTATACAATGAGGTCGTGTACCCGCCTCGTCCTTCGTCAACTGAGCATGAGTCTGATTGCCCGAATTCTGAACGCCGGCCTGCCGAGGTCACCATCTCAAAAGAAAATATCCTGTATAGCCAGAAGAAGCTGTGGCTCTTAGCTTTTATGGTAAATGCCTTTGACATGCTGTAGGCATTTTACTGTTGACGTTCCCACAAACAAACCTTGGATACTTCTTCAAGATGCCACCGACAGAGTTACCAGCCAAAAGGCCGGACACGTGTCGCCAATTTTGTTGTTTCTTGATAACTGAAAATCATAGGTATTTGTTCTTATTTATATCAGTATGAAATCCAAACAACACGTCTGGCGGGTGCTTGGGCTGCATGGCCGTCCCGAGGGCCTTGAACCAATGCAGAAACCATCAAACCTTCAAGTGTTTCAAGCTTTAAGTTGAATCCTTTGTTGATAAATCACAAGAATCTATATTATTAAGTCAGTAGATTTGACATTAGTTGCTCCCTAGGGTCAGACTTGTTTACGTCGGCCATTGAACACTTCCGCCTAAATGTTAAGTGTACTTATTGTTTTGGACTTTGTCGCCGTTTGTTTGTGGTAAATTGGCTCTTAGGTTCACTTGGACTCTCCCGACCTCATTGCCTTGCTCAGACTCCTGCAGCAATCTTAGGAATTAATATACTTCTTAATTGGGATTCTTATGGCCCCTTTCTGCGATCTGCTATTAGCAGCATATTCATACTTGCACCCCTGCCCTCTTTCTATCGTTTTTTTACCGGCAGACCCACCTCTCGAGTGTAGTTCCATTGGTTTTAGAAACTGTGATGCGTTGCGCCTATCTCCACCTTTTCGGCGTATTTCAGATTCGCGGCTTGTCTGTAGACGAGGCCTTTCAACAACTTGGATTTCGCCCTGAAAAGGGTGCCCGCATTTTGGAGGAAGCTCTTGAAGCGGCCGTCGAGAAGGCAGTGAAAGAACAGGACGTTGAGTTTTGCACCGAACTGTGGGTTGGTATGTCCTCGTCGCCATAATTAATATTGTTATCTCCAGCATCAGCCGGGGAAGCTAGTAAAACGGTAACTACTGGAGTTATCACACATCATCATCATTACAAATGTTAAGACAGAACGTTGTTAAGTAGACGGCACCTCATGACTCTGATAAACAGTCACTAAAGATAGTCCGCCCGTCATCTGCCAACCTCATTCCTTTACATTATGAACAGACCAAGTCATATCGTCTCCCCGTACGGCGTCTATGGCTGCAGCTTGGAGCGTGTCGGATTGGTAGTTCGCTGTAGCAGCTGCAAGGCCTGGGTCCGCGCACGCTGCTCTCATTTATTAATTCCCTTGCTTCGCTCTGTCACAGCTCGACTCCTGTCTCTACCCCACCTGCTCAGCATCTCGGCAGTCATTATTTCCTGTCCGCTGATAGCTACGAAGACACTCTAACTTACCCTCCCCTCCCCTAACATACGTCTAGAGCTAAGGAAGGACATGTACGGCACCTCCACACCTACCTTACTACCGAATATCAAAGCCCTCATCATCATCATCTAAATCAAAAACACAACCTCTTGAACATTGGTAAATTGTGATCAACCGATTTTGCAGTAACACAAATTGCCGCATTCTAATTACTTTCCTGGCCACTTTTCCTGTTGACGGTTGTTCTTGATCATGGGGTTTGGTAAACCTGGCGTCGGTGCGGTGTGGCTCAGCTATCACCGGATTTCGAGAAAAAATAATTTGTGGTGGCGTCAACAAGGTACTACTACTTCGTCTTCGGCTTGAATGACTTTATAGTGTTCCAGGCCGACTTGTAGGAGGCCTCCTGCTTCTCTCCTAGGACAGACAACTGAATTCCATCATACTGAGCGTTCAAGTTGTTCCAGCCTGTAATGTGTCCAATTTTGTCATCCGTCTCTAGAGAAGGCTCTAGTTCTGCGCGGCATGGGTGTGCCGGCCATTCACAAGGGCCTCCGCACTGCTGTCTCCTACTCCACCTACCACTACGCCGATCTCTTCCTTCGCCTGCGTGAAGGCAAGCCGCCACCCCTTTATCATCCCTACCGGGTTCGGCCCTCTTGGGTGCCCACGCATAACTGCCCCGCTGATGGGCTTCCCGGCTGGAGCAGTCCACAGGACACCCTGGAGATCGAGTTGCGCAGACTGCGGCGACGGCGGATTCCTGGGGAGCTGTGAACCCTTCCCCCCTTCCTTGATATTTAGTGTTTGTAAAAACTTCGCAGTACCATTTCATTTGCCGCTCCATCTGAATATATTATTTCCTCCTCGGCCTTCTGTCTTTTACCGTGTTTTTACGGAGTTGGTCGTTGTTCTGGAAACTGCAAGAAACGGAATTTGTCCCCTTGGCGGAGTTCTGCCGTCTATTCATCCGCTAGACTGGGTTATTTCGGGCCTCTGTGACATCGCGGTGTTGCTCGGAGTAATTATCTTCAGCTAAAAGTAAGTCTTGTCCACACTGCGACGCCATTGGCTTCTTTTGCCGTCATTAGATGCCTCCAGTCACTTCAGTTTTCTTCCAGACCGCTTTTCTCTCTTGCTCTTCTGTGTCCGAGAAGATCCAAAGATGTTTTCTTTTTCTAGGACTTTGTCGGCCCTGATATAGAAGCATGGTGTCGGGGGCTCCTGTCGGTTTTTGCCACCGCTGATGGACGTGCACACAGCGTGGATCCGACTCCACTAATCGGATGGGAACCTTTCAAAAGCCGTAATATCCTGTTTTATTAGTTGTGGAAAAGTCACCTTAAGTGCTGAGGGACCGCCATGGTCGAGTGACAGCGAGCATCTCAGATTGATCGGATACCGATGATTCATGGAAGTGGTATTGTTTGACATTCTAGCCCCCAGTCTGTGGACTCTGTCTTGATTGGGAACTTTACGACTGGTCTGGCGTGCCTCCCATTGGCAGTGTGGCGAGGTTGTCGACCTATTTTGTATCGGCATGACGATTAATTCGTCCGCAGGGTCATCGAATTCATCCTTTTTCCTAACGGAGACAAATAGAATCGGTCCAGGTTGGAAATGGACGCTGGCATCTCTGTCGGACAATGAAGAGCCAACTGAACAACTATCTTAAGAGCCCACCAGTCGCCACTCAGCAACGGGACAAGTTTGCGATGCTGTGGACACCAGACTCAGCCGAAGCAGTGCTTACAGTGCATACGAGTTTAAAGCCTCGTGTAGTTTGGGCTTTCATCCGCCTGCCGCAGAATGTCAGCAATCGAGAATGCAGTTCCCAGAGGACATAATGAGAGTCGGATAATTTCGGCAATCCTATTCTGCTTAAATTAAGCGCCACTATGCGACTGCTGACGGGGCTCGAGCGAGAGAACCCCTGGTGTCAACGGGGCGAGTGACTGGGGATCAAGCCCCAGCGGTCGCTCATCTCTGGGGTTGGGTATGCCTGGCTGACGACGGTGCTAATAAGCCAGAAATGGTCATTCCAGCCTCTCTCGTCATTCCCGGTAAGGATATTTTGCCTATATTGCTTGTCGGTGTGCGGCTGCTAACGGGACTTAAGAGGGAGTCCCAAGACACAGCGGGACGAATGAGTTCGGTAAAGCGGTCGGTGAGCACCCCGCTACCGTTGCCGTTCGTGTGATCAGCTTTCAGCCTTGCGGGAACATCGGTGTGACAGTGTTCGACGTTGTTTACCCCCTCTCTTCCGTGAACACCCGCTTTATCAGCCCTGTCGGAACCGATTAGTCTTGCGCGTAGCGCCTGGTAGGCGGGATGCAGATCTATAGATCAGTTAAGTGTGCCAGTCGAGGACCAACTTTCGTGCACTAATCCGTCCATCTTATTGGCCCGGCCAATCAGCCTCGCATTCTTAAGGACAAAACTGTGGTCCAGCTGATATATGTGGCATAAAATCAAAGGCAGCTTGTCCTTGCGGCTGATCGTGATTTGGTGTTCGTGCAATCATGTGCCGAGGCGTTTTTACCAACATATCTCGCATCGTAATTTTGGCATGATATGCCGTAGACCACCGCTGATTATACTGCTACTGGGTTTCATGATTTGCTATCTGACTGCCCATCCTGGCTTATAAGCCACACTAATTCCAAAAGATTTTAATTTTCTTGCCATCGCCTCTGAAACGTTCACCACATAGGGGATTGAGTGCCTGAACTCCACTCGACCGCTCAAACTGAGGCTTCCCGAGGCACCTGCGTGTGAAGCACTTCGGGTAGCTATTGGTTTTAAAAACGGCGTGCAAGTACTTCATCTCCTCCTTCCTCACACTATCGTCGCTTCAGTCTGTTTGAACACATTGGAGGATGGTTCTGTCACAACTGCGTTTATGAGCAACAGGGTGGTTGCTTCGGAAGTGGAGGATGCGCCTGGTCAAGAACTATCTAGCCAACTTTACGGTTCACACTAGATCTTTGACAATGAGACGAAGTCGCGGGTACAGCCACTTTGACAGCCCGGAGGTCGGGGTGCCACGCAGGGAGATAGTGGAGCGTAGACGCACTCCTGGCTTGTGGAGCTTTGGCAGGCCGTAGACGCGTGCAATCACGTCATCAGCGACTTTTATTGCCAACGCTTGCCTTCTCGCGAGAGCTCCCTCGTTCCTCAGTTTGCTGGTTGTCTTGTTTATGCTGTTTACGAGCTTTCTGAACTCGTTGGCAGTCGACGGCGCGTAAGACTTCCTGTCCACCAAGAGATTTCCCAGTTTTACCCAATACTCGGCCTTATCCATGACGGCCATCGAACAACCGCTGTCGGTGGTCAGGGTAACGATATCCTCTATTTTTCTTATTCTCAGAAGTCCTCGATCTTCCTGTTTAGAAATCGTCATCTGACGTTTGTTTTGAATGAGTGGTATCGACACTTGTCGCCGCATGGTGTTTTCACACTCCACACCTGCCTCAATTCTGGAGCCCCGATTCGAAGGATGCAATGAAGACTTTAATGCATGGAGAGGACTTTGTCAGCGCCATCTTTGTTTTTCCTTCCTTTCGCTACTCTTATGTGGTGTCAAGACTGCGCCAAGACGGCTGCTACTGAGACTGGATTCTACTGGTTACTTTGGTTACAAGCAGATTTATAAGTGGGTAGAGCGCCATTTCCCCTGATTTCTCATAAACAATGGAAGCTTTCTTTAGTCAGAAGGGGTATTACCGACAAAGACAAGGTAGACTGGAATGACCATTTCTGGCCTATTAGCCGTCGTCAGCCAGTCATACCCAACCCTGAAGTGTGGAACACCCGAGGCTCGAACTCGCGACCTGTTAGTTAGAAGTCCACACCTCTAACTGCTGGGCCACGAGCCCGTTGCCCTGTCGGTTCTCGATCGGAAATATACAATGGTAGGGGACGCTCATCGATCGTTCTTACGGAACTTACTCGTTCCGTTGTGCCTTACGGGCTCTCTCTCGAGCCCAACCAGCAGCCGCACAGCGGCGCAGGATATAGGCAGAATGGCATTACCTACAATGACAAGGGAGACTGGAATGGCCATTTCTGGCTTATTAGCCGTCGTCAGCCAATCGTACCCAAACCCGAAGTGTGGAACACCCAGAACGATCGGTGAGCGCCCCCTGCCATTGTATATTCCCGATCGAAAACCGACAGGTCAACGGGCTCGTGGCCCAGTGGTTAGAGGCGTGGACTTCTAACTAACAGGTCGCGAGTTCGAGCCTCGGGCGTTCCACACTTCGGAGTTGGGTATGACTGGATGACGACGGCTTATAGGCCAGGAATAACCATTACAGTCTCCCTTGTCTTTGTTGGTAATACCCCTTCTGCTTATATCACGCGCCGGTGTGCGGCTGCTGGTTGGGCTCAGGAGAGAGCCCTAAGGCACAATGGAACGAGTGAGTCCCGTAAGAACGATCGGTGGGCGCCCCCTACCATTCCCTTCTTTAGTGACAGCTGTTCATGCCCCTCTTCGAGTATGACGCTTTTGGTTGCAACTGTAATATGATCTGACTGTGCTTAAAAGTTCTATGTTGAAACATAACCTGTCTGCAATCGCGAAGATGATTGCTGTTGGTGTTCGCAAATATGGTTTGAAACGACATCCTCAGCGTTCTTGTCCGCCACTGGCATTACTAAATCAAACATCATCTCGACCAAGCAGGCAACGCTCCCGCTGTCCCATTCGAGGCTTTACTCTCACTTATTCAGACGCCAAACCTCTCGATGCAACCAATTTTAAGAACAAAATGGGGAAGTCGGATGACGTAACGTCAACATTTTTGAGGAAATTTTGCTTAACTTCCCACTAAACTCGGGTACTTGACTAGTAGGGCCGTTTCTTAAAAACACCTATTGAAACGTTTTAAGTAGAGAGTTTGTTTTGATTTTTTAAATTTGCGCCTCCTAGTCCCAACGGCTGGACACAGCACTGGTATAGGGAGGCACTCAGCGATCGTCCCGTTGTGCCTTAGGGCTCTCTCTTGAGTCCGACCAGCAGCCGCACAGCGGTGAATGATATATAGGCAGAATGGTATTACCGACAAAGACAAATGAGACTGGAATCACCATTTCTTGGCTTATTAGCCGTCGTCAGCCGGTCAACCCAACCCCGAAGTGTGGAACACCTGGGGCTCGAATTCGCGGCCTGTTAGTTAAAACAGGTTACGGGCTTGTTAGAGGCATGGACTTCTAACTAACAGGTCGCAAGTTCGAGTCTCGGGTGTTCCACACTTTGGGGTTAGGTATGACTGGCTGACGACGGCTAAGAAGCCAAGAAGTAGCCACTCCAATCTCCCTTGTCTTTGTCGGTAATACCATTCTGCTTAGACTCAGCACTGTCCCAAGAATGATGCAGTAACGCTGATCTGTGTCACATTCACCTCGCGATCTATCCACACGCTCATATTTGCCGAGATAAGGCATGGTGTGGACGACTGCAGATGCGATCAATCGAAAGCCCAGCTCGCGTGATACACAATCTTATCACTAGCTCTATATTTCCCAGGCCTCTAAAAAAGAGGCACTCGGATTTCACGTGACTGAGATCGTTGTCATGGCCGCAGTGAAGAGTTTACGATTTCAACTGCCTGGTCAATCAGAACTGACAAAAGAAATGAGTTCCAAGAGTTCAGGTTCCTCCATCAGTCACAGGTCAAGATCGGTTCGTCAAGAAAGTGAAGATCTGTGTTTGGTGCAATTTCGGAAGTGTTCTTCACTTTGAATTTGTTCCGGATGGCCGTGTCGTCAATTCC